TTATGATCTTCAATGAAACTGTTTTGTATTTCTTTATTACTCCTTTGTCTCACACCTCTGCTCACTGTTTCTATTATGCTTTTCTTGTACTTTCTTCTCTTGCTTCGCGTGCTACACGGAATGTGGCGACTTGAACTTCCGCACATTTGTGCAAAGTTCTATGTCGAAAACAGACAGACAGAGACAGACTGATTGGGGTTAGAACCGAGGACCTTCCAATTACAAGGTAATGGGTGCATGGTAGCGATGAGTCTCAAACTAGGGTGAGACGCCCTGTTCTTTAACTGATACCAAACCATGGTCAAACTTAAAACGAATCAAATTCCTGCAAACTAGCTCTTGAAAATCCCTTGTATTCATAAACTTAAACAAAGCATAAATAAGGGATTGGATAATAAAAAGACGTCGTTCCATTTTGCTGATTTTTTTCAGCCACTAAACTTCAAATTTTGATTCATAAAATATAAAAGAATACTCACACACTCTGAATAATTATATAAAAGATTATACATTGAATTGAATTTTTGATTTTCCTGTCGATTGATTGGACCGAAGTGCTCGGTCTCAGGTTGACATGTCGGCTTCTTGTGCAGATGCTTCGGTCCAGTCAATCGACGCGAAAATCAAAAATTCAATTCAATAATTAATATGACCTGTTGCACAAGAGGTGGCTCTCGTGGCCCAAGTCGTCTAGTGGATAACGCTTTGGCGTTTGAAACTACGGGCACTGGGTTCGAGCCTCAGTGGGAACATCATCACTCACTGAGAAATGCAGGTACATCCAGCTAACGAATCCCAAATAGGACGAAATGCGCATCCTGGATTCCACTGCTAGCTACCACCTACCAATTGTATACTAATCAAAAAGATTATACACTTGAAAATATATGGGTCATTGAATTAAAAACAAATTTTTCAAACAGTTCATCATTTTCGTCGCCACTTTTCGAAAAATCAAACGGAAAACAGAGAAACCAAAATGTTATAAGAACATTATGGTTGACTATGAACCACAGAGATATATGACTAATAAATAAAGGTTAGTTAGGAATTTCATAGTGTGAAATGTAACGAAGAGTGAATGCATCTGTGACACTGGAAACAACTTTGGACCACGGTTCAGAACGTCTCCAGCCATTCATTCTCAGAATCCCAACGGCTCAGTTAGGCACATGATGTCAGCCTTGGTCAAATATTATTATTATTCCCTAGGATTCCGAGTGGAACAAATGGCTTCAACAACACATCTCCGCTTTATTCTATTTTCTACTGTCCTCATCAGCTGGGTCCAAGACTGACCGTAAACTCTCATCTCCTACTTGCACGATCTCCTCAATATTAACATGGCACCGACGACCCACTCGTCACTTTCCATTTAGATTCCCTTCGAGAGCCTAGAGCGCAATGCCATTCGACAGCATCCTCAATGTATGCCAGACCCATCTCCATTTTCTCCTAGATATTTGTTGAGCGACCGGCTCTTGGTTGGTTTGTTCATCTCAAGAGATTCTTGTTGAAAATTCTTTCTGTCCCAACAGCCGGCCATTTGATCTTCAATGTGGAGCCAATGAAGCGGGCATCTATTGATAAAAGTCTCTAACTTGTTAGAGATGTCTTTCGTTAGACGCACTGCGAGTTTCTAACTGTATAGATGAACTGACTGACTTCACATTTGTGTTGAAAGTGCGAATCTTGTCCCTTTTACTGAGTGTAAGAGATTTCCAAACTGGTTTCAGGTTGATGAAGGAGTATCTTGCCTCGATTCTGTTTGGCCTTGACATCTTCATCCGTTCCGACTGCCTATGGTTGAAACGATGCTTCCTGGATAAGTGAAAGAAGTAACCTACCACTGTCAAATCTCTCCCGTTGATGGTGATTGGTGCCGGCTGTTGTTGGTGTTGCTGTTGTTTGAGTATCTTTATCACGTTTGCCTTCTTTGTGTTCACTTGGAGTTATTTCTCCGCTGCCAGCCTCTTCAGCCAGATTTTTGGTGTGACATTAGACATAAACCATCCATGCGAGAAATCCACATCTTTTAGAGTCTTCTTATTGGTTAGTCCAACGTATTCCTGTCTTCTCACTCCCCATACACAGTCTGACGCATAATCCGGTCCACTGCAATTAAGAATATACTCCTGTCTTCAATTCGAACGCCTCACTGAGTTTTCTTTTGTGAATTACCTGCGAGTGGCACTGTGTTATAGGAAGCTGTTGAATGAGGTTTATAAATATTTGGGCACTGCAGACCGTAGTGCTGGATCAGTTTCCGAATTACTTTTCAGTTTATGCTGTCGGAGGCCTTTTCAAAGTCAACGGAGTTGACTACTATTCTATGCTTTGTTCGATGACCATGTGTGGAGTTATAATCTGATCAGCACATGATTTTTCTTTACTGAATCCAGCTTGTTCTGGGCTGATTTTGTGCATTCAGTGCATCTTTTATTCTCCTCAGGATAACGCGACCCACTATTTTGCCTGGTGTGCACAAGAGCATTATTCCACACCCATTCTTGCAGAGTGAGGCCTGAGTCGCCCTTCTTTGGTAGTTTGACAAGGCAGCTAGCCTTTCTTCCAATCGATAAGTTGCTTTCCTTCCTTCCAACCCTTTTCAGATAATAGCGTGAGCATGTCTGCGCAGTCCCTGGGTCCGTTTTCAGTGCTTCGGGAGGAATTCCGTCTGGTCCTACTGTATTCCCGACTGGACTTCACCAGCCTGATCTCACTCAAGATTTCTGCTTTTGCTGGAGGATCGGTGTCCACTGGCATTTCCGTGTGTGCTGTTGGTGGCATTTCTGGGCGAGTTGCCGGTGGTGGTCGATTTAAGAAGAAGAAGAAATCAGCCCATTGTTTTATTTATTCCTCTTCCTTGGTAGTCAGGTTCTCTTGACCGTCTATTGTTGGTTTCACCTGTGTTGATCTTTTCCCAATTAAATACCTGCTTATCTGATATAGTGTTCTGAGGTTTCTCTCACCTGTGCTCTGTCTGTTCTGCTTCAGTTGCTAGTGTTTCATAAAACTGTCTTTCGTCTTTCCTAGCCCTCTTCTTCACTTCTTTATTCAGTGCAGTGTACACTGAACTTAGCTTTACCTTCGGTTGCTCATCTTTGCATTGGTCCATCTTGTGTTTCACCATTTTCTCTCTTCTCTTACCTTGCAGGTGTCCGTTGAGAGCTATTCCTTTTTTTACGTCTTCTTCTTTTTAAAACGGTTGTACATGTTCCCTTGAGCATTAGCTTCAGAGAGTTCCAATGTTCTTCCACACATGTTTCCTCAGTGATGCCACTTAGTGTCTCCGACTTTGCTCTGGTCTGATCTATAGTGGAGGTGTCCCTTGTAGTTTTGCCCTTCAGTTTCTGTATGTTGAACTTCAATCGTGGCCCGTCTCATCAAGAAGCTAGATACATAAAGACTCCATAGTTGTTGTTTTCTATTTCACTTCGGTCCCAAACATAAATGTGTACCAAAAATATAATAACCAGACAACAAAGGTGTTCCAATCTACCATATACCTCATCTACTGAGAATTTACTGCTAAGGCATTCGCGTGTGTCTGTCACTGAGGTGGTTCGGAGGCCATCCGATTATCCAATGTCTTTAATTATGCTTGAAGACAGGATATAATGGATACTTGAAAAATTCGTAACAGACGATCGTTTTATTCCGGTACTTCAGTATATAACTGCATAGATTTTTGTAATATACGTTTTCGGCTGGCTCAATGTCTCCACTTAAGCATTAAAATAATCTGTTAAGACAACTTTGTACTAAAGTATGTCTCTGGTAGAGATTCAGTTATCTTTTGATAATATATATTCTTTACTTTGTAGCAAAGAGAAAATTATGAATAGCTTCCAACGAGTGCAACGACATTTTCATATTCTTACAGACTGCTTCAGTCGAACAACAAACTAGAGCTGTCTAAAAAGGATCCATTTAAGTGGTGGGTTTTCTGCTTTTGCGACCAACGATATGTCTACACGAGAAAATTCACCAGAAGTGCCTAAAGTATCTTCTTACATTCGTAAAGTGAATTTGAGTAAATTCGCCACGTTGGATAGATAGAAGGACAAAAGAATGATAAAACTTAGGTATTGTTTACATTTCCCAGGTACACAATATACAATGATAGCCTAAAATGTCAGTTTCTCTCAATAGGACCTATTTTCCGACTTGGATTAAGGTCAGGACACTGCTGGTAACGTGGGAATGAAAGACTAGGAAAGGAGTTTCGCTGGGTTAAGTCACTAATCATGGTCAACAAAGTCGGCGTAAAGTGAGGAGTTATCAATGGAATATTATTAGAGGTTTTAGGAATATGAAGAAAGTGGGTGATATACAAGAGAACTATGTGTGGCAGTGGAAGTTTCAGCTGCCCATACTTTGAAAGTTGATTTGATAGAGTGGAATTGTTCATTTTATGTAACAGAATAGCCAGGGTAATAACTGCTTAGATGTAGCATTTTAGGAGCTTCGCTAGTGATAATAGTTACATCGACAGCTTTGGATTGGCGTAGGGTTGATTTGGATGTATAATTTTTAAGGCTTACTTTTTTAACCCCTACTCCGTAGAGCTGGAAAGAAGTTCAGTTGGCTTGCTAGTTATCTGGAAAACAAAACCCTCATCAGTGTTACGATGACGTCAGTTGACGGCATGCTTTCGTACAGCGAATTTATCATTGTGTAATTAACTCACATTATGATCATAAAAAGTGAACACTGGGAGTGACGAACAATTTATACTCGTAAATGAAATGAAATCATTCACGTACTTTGAGTGTACGCAGGTAACTTTTATTTGTTTATTATTTACTTAGAAATTAAATTCTAGTACTTTCGGTTATTCGTTAAATAATCAGTTTGCAGCTAAACACACTAAGCCTAATAACTGATGTCTAGGAAACTGAAGTTAGTAAGCATCTAGTAATTATTATTAGTTAAAACAACTATTCGAAAGGTATTGCACGTTATAGATAGAGGTGTAAGCAAAAGTACTGACTTACCTCACGACAAACTGTAGCAATTTGTGATTCATTCATACACGTTTCTGTAATGACGTCTGTCAGTGAACCGCCATCTAAATATTCCATTACAACCCACAGCTCATCTCCTAACTGAATATATGTAAAGATAAAAACTGAGTATATATATGTATATAAGAAAGTATGCATCACTGAACAAAGCTGTGGAGTCACTTAGGAACACCAATCAGAGTGAACGAAATTATAGACTGTAGTCTACGAAACTTAACTGCCTGGAAGAAATAAGAAGTGGAATGAAACACTTTCACACAAACAATACGTAGAGGTCATAAACTGTCAAACCTAGGATTATACGCCAACATTTAATCTTAAAAGATATTTGGATCCGATGATTATTTGTCTGTGTAAACATTAAGATTGCTGTTAACTGCATTGAAATGTTTGTCGTTATGTCTACATCAAACTGATTACTGCTCAATAACTAATAAAAAATTATGTTATTGTATGCAGACATTTTTTAACATTTCATATTTGAGGCGCACTAGATGCATGATACGTCTGTGAAGGAAATTTTCCTGGGATTTTATACGATGGTTCCTGCTTTCTTCTAAATATGTTCAGATATAAACTGGTCACAGATAGCAAACTTTGCAAAACAGGTCAACCTTTATTTAACTGATACGCCCTCAATCTTAATCACCATTCCAACAGACGAATCGTTTGACTATACTGGCGAAGTATTAAACAATTTACAATCAGCTATAATTTTCAAGTGATAAAAAAAATGCCTCGAATTGCACATTTATGTATTGAATGGAAAAAAAAAGTGTTTTCTACAGTCATTATAGAACTGACGATCAGGCTATAAAAACGGAACGTAATTCGGAGAAAATGTATCATCATTAACTTGAGCTGTAATCTATCATCTGTTAGAATGGTTTATGAAACTCCAGATCATACTGACATTTCGGAAATCCACTTTAGATTTCCTATAATCAAAATCTTCATTTAGTTTTGACTTTTAATCTGATGGTGTGCTGCACACCTCAGGATGACAAGTTAGTCTCAGGCTTGTAGATTCAGTTATTTATCCTAACTAAAGTATTTGACCAGCTACAAAATGCACACTTATCTGGATCAGAACGAAGTGAAACATTTACTAGCTTCTCTTTTTGCATAAAGGCGACACAACTTTCATAAAATTTGTAAAAGCATAGTAAAAAATTTATTATTCGTTCCAGTATTTATAGTATTTGAAATACACACTGAACTTGTTCTAAAAGTTGCTTCAGTTTATGTATGAGTCTAATCTCTTGCATAAATTCGTAAAGTGTCACTATCATAATTGTATAATCACTATTACTCATGTGTTTAACGCCCTTTGCTTCATTTAGTTTTGGGTTATTACAAGGTGATGCATAGAGTGATTAGGTTGTTTTTATTGTTGAGTAGATAACTTATTACTTCTTTTTTATTTTATGTAGTTTTTCAGAAAATGAATCCACTTGTTTAGTATAGTTGCTAGACTTTCACTTTTCACTACAATTTCCACATCATTTATTTGACACAAAGACAGTGATAAATAGACTCAGATAGAGTGTAGTCAAAATATGACCACAATCCTAAGTATATTCAGTCAGCGATTGTTGAAAAACACTAGATAACACTGATCGAATTTTCAATTCATAGAGTTTTGCGGATGAGAACAGTAATATTTTTTAATGACGTATGGCTTTCAGAAAATGAAAAACTTCGAAATTATGAAAAGAACAATTTAAAAAAAAGCACTTCCAAACTTACCAAGTAACTATCCAAATAATTTACAACATTTGGATTTCGATAAGTTCGCATAACTAAAATTTCATTTAGGATTAACTCTTTTTTTGGTTGTTGTCGCAAACTCATTTGTTTAATGGCCACACGACAACCTGATTCAAGCTCACGACCAATATAAACAACACCAGATGCTCTAATTATAAAATAGAATACAAAAGTGATGACATTGCCATGAGTGCATTACTACTGGAGGGAATCAGTAAGACAGTTGGATTACTTGAAAACATTATGGAGAAAATAAACGAAATGAAGTGGATGTTAATCAGTATTTAAACTGAAATTATGTCTATTTTCTACTACAGTTTCAAATAAGAATAACTGAAATAGACATCATTTGCTCGGCAGCAATGAGATAGACTTTGCATCTTACCCGCAACAAGTCGACTGTAGTGAACAAAAATGCACCAGTTAAGAGCCTAATTCAGTCTCCATTACTTTTGGGTAACATGGCGTTTTCCACTAGGTTATTCAACGGCGTCATCCAGAGTTTGCTCAGCATGTGGCATTTATTGAAAAACAATTGAAGCATACAAACGCAAAGAAATAAGATAATCTTTTTTATTCGATGACAACATTTTGGATAATTTATGTACAATTATCCGAACCCACAGCTGTTCATTGAAATCTAAGAATTCTCAACCATTTGTATTCATCGGCAGTGGTATAAACAGTTAATATTAACACAGTTACACAGCTTTTCTTTATCTTATGAAAAATAACAGGTATAAAACAATAGCCAGTGAGTACGTGATCACCAGGAAGAAATTTCACGAAAATATTCTTCTTTTTGTTTCGGCAGAGAAATTAGCTTAGGCAAACGCTTCCAGTCTATTCTAATAAACACCCATATGTATCAGATTTTAGTTTTTCAAAACAGTAAATCGCTCCAAATGGAACTGAAGAAAATAATCGTTAGAATATTCCCTGATGCAACACCCTTTAGAGTTTGTTACTTATTATGTGGTATTTAGTGACTGGCCACTTTTATGTCTAGGAAAAATAATCCAAAAAGCCTACCATCGCTTTTTCAAGTGCTGTAAATTAAGTCCGTAAAGGGAAATATTTAAATATTATGCAAGTGATCAGTTTATCGGATAAACAAAACGGAGCATACGGTGCAAATTTATGAGTTACTTACTTATTTACAGTAATCTGTGCCATTATGAAGCGGTAAAATTTCTACTAAAATTTCTAGCGAAAATAATATGAATTAGGCATTTTCGAGGAAATTTCTTTTATAAAGGCTGTTTCGTCAGTTCACGACAAACTTTTGCTATGGCTTTCACTATCTTTCTAACAGAATGTAAGCATTACCGCTTTTTCCACCATAAAAGTTAAATTAGGTTTTTCAATTCACATTCCACTGGTTGTTTTGAATTTCATTAAGAATTCAGCTATTATTATCACCCGTTTACTCTACACCTTTTGTGGATCAATTTTATAAAGATTCATGAAAGGTGTCAAAGCTAACAAAAGCACTGTGAATAACGTCTCTCTAACTCATACACAGCCGAAATCCTGCTAGCTATAATATTCTCATGGAAAATTCCCATTGTAACATATAGAAAATCAAAACAAGTGATTCAGCGAAGAGACTCTTTTCAATGAGTTTATCGTCAAGCTGTACAGTCGTATATATATATGGTTTTTAAGAAATATGGTAATCCCCAATCGTATTTTAGCTCTACCAATTTTTCAGTTTTTCATTTTGTCTATTCAATTTGTATACTCTTCTTTATTACGTCAATTGTTATTATTACTATTCCCACTTTGAACTGTCCACGGTATTATTTCACTTGTTCCACTTGTCATTCTAAATCAATTCTTTTTTACAACGATAAATTCTACGCTATTAAATTTCACAATATTACGTAACGTTTTGTTTTATTCGATTTGTCTATTAATCTTATGATTGCACACCCTTTTTCAAGTTCTATCCATCCTATGACATTAATTTGCTTTGCCACTTGACATTTAACTACGATTATAATCACAAAAATTTTAGTTTTAGTTTTAATTGAACTTCATATTATTATTATTTTATGCATTCACACCTAAGATTCAATTCCCTCACCGGATATAACTTCTTAAAGCCATATATATATATATATATATATATATATATATATATATATATATATATATATATATATATATATATACGACTGTACAGCTTGATGATAAATTCGTTGAAAAGAGTCTCTTTGCTGAATCTCTTGTTTTGATTTTCTATAAGCTATAATATTAACAATGAAAGATTTTTAAAGAAAAATACAAATGATGTTGCAACTGTGTGAACAAACGATACAAGAATGAGATTCACTGGCTGAATAATAGTGTATTATCTGTAAATGCTAAAGGACTGTAGCGTCAAACTTCAATTATCAACCAATATTCCTTGACATTTGAAATTAAACTTTGCTTTGTTGAATACAATCAAGAAATTTGAAACCCCAATAAAATTTATATGTCAAAAGAACTATTCAGCGTCACAAACAATCAAGGCATGTTGAATCACTTACCCATGACCGATACGCCCAAGAGTTTCGTACTTTTCTGATGGTTTTCCTTGACTAACAATCGTCCTTAACCGGGCAATAATTTGTTCATCGCGCATACGCATTTTGTTACGACAACGTGGAGAATGTCGAGAAACCAAACACACCTGAGCGTTATGACTTTGTGAGCCGCTTCCACTATCTGTAAAGCATTCCCCGAAAGGGCTTGTTGAAGTATTAGGATTTTCACTGATGGCCAAAAGTTTAGAAGAATTTTTTACACTCTCTACTGATTGCCTACCAGAATGAGCTGCAGACTAGAAAAAAACAGAATTATACAAGATATAGACAAGTTAAAACAATGCAAACACTATAGGAAGAGCTTAAAATGAAGGTGTAGATGTTTCTTTTCGTTCACTTTAGCAGTGAACGAAAATCGTTCCTTTTCTTGATAATTTTCAAACATGACAAGCTCATTCTAAAGGATTCCTACAGTTAAAAAAACGTAGCTGATATATAAATTCTGCCGTCTTCAAAGACCATGATATTAATCAAAACAAAAACGAATTTGGTATAAATTAGCGGTAATTACTGCCGCTATTTAGGTGAAGGGTTGAAGATAAACTGTTTGAATACAGAGTAGTATTCATTGGAAACTGAAATAACTTGGAAAACCACGGGTTTTCAAGTTATTTTGGATTTATTTGAGCTACTGTCACAAACAAACTCACAAGACTGCAAGAGACTTCGAACGCCAAACTACCAGGTTGACAGGAAAAATTTACGTCACAATACTTCACAGTACTGTTATCATCTGTGTATGTAGCTTCAAAATGCTGTGAAGTCGTTAAGTAGGACTTTATACTAAACTAGCTACTGTTGATTTCAAATATTTACTTCATCTTGCTGGTGAACCACGTTTGAATTGGTAATGGTTTTATAAATTTCTTAAGTAACGATCATAGAATTCTGACAAGTAATTAACTCTAAATATTAAGGTAGGACGCTATCCTACTATCCCACTTCTGACACCAGGTTTAAGTGCGTCGGTGGTATAGCGGTTAGGACGCTCGCCAACCATGCACATGGCCCAGGGTTCGATCCCCGGCCGACGCACTCCTTCACCACGCTAAGCCAGAAATAAAACCTGGTAAAGAGGAAAGGTTGGGCATGGGGCTAGCAATCCCATCCTCTAAAATAAACTCTGCTACAGAAACTTCAAGCCACTAGCTTGGAGCCCTACGTTCCAATGGGGAACATGAAGGAAAAATTATTTATTTATTATATAAGTTAGTAATAAAGAAATACACCTGAGGATTGATAAAAATTGAATGAAAGAAAATGTATTATTTCAAGAGGAAGAAATAAAGCTTTAGGTGAAAAATAAACGTAGCATCTGAAAATATTTAAATTAAAAAACCACCAGCGAAGTGATATTCAAGTTTTGATTTTGCCTACCATTATCCTCCGTTCACAAACAAAACTTCCAACGTTTTGATAAAGAAAAAAACTTTACTTCATTTCGTTTCATCTTCATCGATTTCGAGGCATGAAATCAGAAATTTATGCTACAAGTGCAAAAATTAACCAATCATGGTTTTGTGTATAAATGAATACATATAAAATACATTTTTCATTAAAAAAAGACGATGTTATTTTGTTTACTCTTTCAACTAAGCAGATTAGTTAGGCAACAAATTCTTATCAAGAGCTGTTATCAGGATGGTGTACATTGATAAGGAGCTATGATATATCAAACAGCTAAATAGTGCCCCCTGACTTTCCTTGTCTCTTGTTTCTATGATTTGAGTTCAATTCAGTACATTGTTACCTAACTTATTAGTCACTGTGCATCTAACGCACATCTCACTTTTATTACGTAACTCCCTTACCATTATACGCATACATTTTTTTTTGTTTTAACTTGAACTGCCTATGTAAAAACTATATAAGCGCAATTGTCTGAGTACTGTTTACTAGTTGTGGAACTTTCTGTCAACCGACAACATGAAAAATTTGCAAGTATGTTAAAACGTTTCTGTACTTAAACCTCATATTTTATTAAGGCTGTAAGCAGCTGATGAGAAGCCAACGAAATAAATGATGGTACCATGTTATTCTGCACAAACCACTGTTGTTCTCGCTTTATTCAAATTCACCAAGAGGTATAAATGCATGAAGTTCCGTAAAACAGAACAAATAATGTTTACGTAGTACGCTATGTGATTGTAAACACACAAGACAGTGAATGGGTATCCGATATACGGGTGGACAGTCAACAACAGTCGAATCTCTCAGACATCGTTTTTTCATTCGTTGGACAATAATATGAATAAATGAATAATAATGAACAGTTATAAAATGTAATGAAACAGACTTAGTGTTAATTAATTTTTCCGAGAAAACAAATAACTAAACACTTTGAAAATTAAATGCCAAACAAGGTGAAGATAAAAGAGCACTTGCTTTTTATTTTATAAAAGTAATTACATTTGTGGATTTGTGGAATTTTTAAACATAAACACATCTATAATTGTATATATTGTTGGATTTATATGTTCAAGTTGCTCCAAGTCAGTGAGTTTATGGTTAAGATATCATTTTAGTTAAATGTACTGAACTATATTGCATGTTGTCTTATTGTATAGTTGTCGTCGCTTTTTGCCCTTTTTTCTGTGAACTGTTTCCTTTGTTGATGTTGTTCTCATTGTTTGTCCGTTATTTTCTGATTTTGAGGGGAGCAACCCAAAAAGTTGCTTCTCTCTAAACTTTTACTTAATGTAATCATTCTTTTCTCAGGCGTGAGGCTAGCAACCCCACCCTGTAAACAAAAATTGCTAAAGAAACTTCAGTATGTTGAACCTCCTTGCACCAAAAGAAAAAGTCTGTGTAGGAACATGGAACGTCCGAACTATGTACGAGACTGGGAAAGCTGCCCAGATCGCCAACGAGATGAAAAGATACGGAATACAAGTGCTGGGAATATGTGAGAGCAGATGGAATGGGAGTGGACTCACCAAATTGTCAACAGGTGAGTCAGTGATCTACTCCGGTCACCCAGAAGATAACCACACGCACACCGAGGGCGTGGCTATCATGATGTCACCAACGGCAACGAAAGCCCTGATACAATGGGAGGCGATTTCGTCCAGGATAATGACCGCCAGGTTCAACTCCAAAGGAAGGAAAGTGTCAATCATACAATGTTATGCACCCACAAACAACGCAGACCTCGAGAAGAAAGAAGAATTCTACAGGCAACTACAGGCAACAATGGACAATACTCCAGCTGGCGACATGAAAATACTAATGGGAGACATGAACGCCAAACTGGGACCAGACAATACGGGAAGGGAACTCATCATGGGTAGAGAAGCTCTAGGAGAAATGAATGAAAACGGAGAACTCTTCGCCGACTTCTGCGCCTTCAACGAACTGGTGATTGGTGGCAGTGTATACAAGCACAAAGATATCCACAAGGCTACATGGGTGTCACCAGACGGGCAAACCAAAAACCAAATCGACTTCATCTCAATCTCAAGGAAGTGGAGGCGCAGCCTACTGGACACAAAAGCAAGAAGAGGAGCAGACGTTGGCTCAGACCACTATCTCGTACAAGGGACAATCCAAATCAAATTAAAAGCTTTCAGGGAATCAGGAGCTGCAGATAGACCACAAGCCAAGTTCAACACTCAAAAGCTGAAGGACCAGGCTACAAAGGACATCTTCATTGCAAGCATAAAGGACAAAGCCGAGACACAAATCAACACTAGCGAAGAGGTCGGCGTTGAAAAGCACTGGAACAACTTGAAAACGGTGTGGAGCCAAACCTGCATAGAAATTCTAGGCAGAAAAAAGAGACAGGACAAACAGTGGCTCACTACGGACACTTGGAAACTAATAGAAGAGAGAAGGACAGTGAAGCAAAAGATTATCCAGTGCACGGACGAGCAACAAAAACAGGAGCTGAATGCAAGCTACAATACACTGAACAAAAGAGTGAAGAAAAGTGCCAGGGAAGACAAAAGAAAATATTATGAAACCATGGCAAACGAAGCAGAACAAGCTGCAGGCAAAGGAGACCTCGCCACACTCTACCAAACAACTAGGAACCTTTCGGGCAAACGTTCGACACAGATTAAGCCAATAAAGGACGACAATGGAAAGTCAATCACCAAAGAGGTGGAACAGAGAAAGCACTGGGTTGAACACTTCAAAAGACTTCTAAATCGTCCGCCACCTACAACACGTCCAGCAATACCAACAACGGAAGCAGAACTACCAGTGAACACTGACCCCCCGACGAAATCAGAAGTCCTGAATGCAATCAAGATGCTTAAAACTGGGAAAACACCGGGACCAGATGGAATCCCAGCAGAGGCTTTGAAAATAGACCCAGAGACAACAGCGGACTTGATGACACCACTACTGGAGAAGGTGTGGAAAGAGGGCAAAGTACCCGAGGATTGGAAGAACAGTTACTTATTCAAACTTCCAAAGAAAGGAGACTTAAGTCAATGTAAAAACTGGCGTGGAATTATGCTTCTGTCCATTCCAAGCAAGATACTAAGTCGCATCATCCTGGAGAGAATCAAACAAGCCCTAGATGAAAAACTTCGTCCGGAACAGGCTGGATTCAGGAGAAACAAATCATGTATTGATCAAATCGCCACTCTACGGATCATCATTGAACAAAGCTTGGAATGGCAGTCACCTCTCTATCTCAACTTCATCGACTTTGAAAAGGCCTTCGACAGCGTCGATCGAGAGGTCATTTGGAAACTACTTCGCTACTACGGGGTCCCATCGACAATTATACACCTCATCCAACAGTTATACGACAATGCTGCATGCCAAGTAATCCACAACGGGAAACTTACGGAAGCCTTCGAAGTGAGGACGGGAGTGAGGCAAGGCTGTCTACTATCACCAATGATCTTCCTGATTGCAATTGATTGGATAATGCGACAGACAACGGCAACCAACGAGGGAACAGGCATAAAATGGACTGACACAAAAGACTTGGAGGATCTGGATTTCGCCGATGATATATGTCTGATTTCCCATAAACTGGAAGATATGCAAGTGAAAAGTAACAAGTTGGCAGAAGAAGCATCAAAGATAGGACTTCACGTGAACATAGATAAAACAGAGATGATGAAGATTCCTAGCCAACATCAACAACACCAACAGACCACAATAAGCATAAATGGGAAGAACCTGAAAGAAACAACCTCCTTCACCTACCTGGGAAGCATCGTCTCAACTACAGGCGGAACTGACGAGGACATCAAAGCCAGAATCGGAAAAGCAAGACAAGCTTTCATTACTCTCAAATCTGTGTGGAGGTCAACAGCAATCAGCATCAAAAATAAGATCCGGATTTTCAACTCCAATGTGAAGTCAGTGCTACTATACGGATCAGAGACTTGGCGAGTCATAAAGAGCATCTCAAACAAACTTCAAACCTTCATTAACAACTGTCTCCGCTCAATACTCAAGATCAGATGGCCAGAAAAGATCAGCAACAGGGATCTCTGGGAGCGAACCAATCAGGAACCGATTGTGAAACAAATAGGCAGAAAGAAATGGAGATGGATTGGCCATACGCTGAGGAAACCATCAAGTGACATCACTAGACAAGCCCTCGAGTGGAACCCGAAAGGGAGGCGGCGAGTTGGTCGTCCAAGGGTGACTTGGAGGAGGTCATGCGAGGAGGAGATGAAAGCATGTGGACAGACCTGGAGCAGGGTGAAAAAGTTGTCAGAAAACCGAAGTCAATGGAGGTGCGCAGCTGAAGCCCTATGTTCCTCTAGGAACTAAAGGATACAATAATAATAATAATTATATTCAAATGACCGCATAATACAGACTTGATATGATTCAAATGTATTAATATAACTAATGGTGTAGAGAACCATTTGAATAATAATAACAAAAACAGTCGACAAGACCTACTCTTTTTATCCTGTTTTGTGTACCATTGCATCTAGTTGCAGTACGACCTCTCTGTTGACTGGTCAAATCAGATTTGATCAATGCAGATGTGGATCCTTCTTCATCTTTTATCAAATTGCTAGATACACTTTTCAATTCAGTTGAAGAAGTAGATTCTGAAATGTTTGCACAGTCTTCAATAACTAAAGATGTTTCTGTTGGTTCTGATACACTTGAGTTGTTGGGCTGGGCTTTTATAGATGCAGTTAGACAGACATCTTCGTCCGTTTCTAGAGAATTGGTATAAAAGAATAAGTTATCAATAAACAGTTATCCTGACAAAAAAATTAAAAAAACCAAATGTTATGTATATATTCTTCCTAAAATATCCCATATTGTTAAGACAATTACTACTAACGTATGTATCTCTTGAAACAAATGCACAAAATTGCCATTCAGATATTCAGAAGACAAAAGAAAATTCGAGCAAAAAATATCAATCACGATGAGTTTCTCTTCCTTCTCTCTCTCTCTCTCTATGTATATATATATATATATATATATATATATATATATATATTCCAGGTTAATTGTAGTAGTCCCTGTTGGAGTAGATTTGCAAGTTTTATCCAATGGCCCTAAGTTTTGTAATAATCATATCAGAATTAATAAAATGAATAAACGAGTTGATTTTGAAAGCCTCTACACTCCAACCAACGATTTGATATTCTCATCAAGTGAGATCGTTGAAAGACTTCAGTCAACTCTGGCCGGTCGTTGCTATAATTATAATAATAGTAAACGCATCTCGAATAATTTTCTGACCAGAAAAAAAAGAGAATCCCTAGATATTTCACGGAAGAACGATAACGTAGTAATAACAAAACCTGAAAAGGTGGCAATTGTGGACAAGACAGATTACTTCAAGAAGACAAATATCATTCTTAAAGAAGGTCTGAAATTCCGAAAAGCCTCGTCTTCTCTGGATCCAACTGAAAAGACTGAGAACAGTTAGTTGAGTGATTAAAACGTCGGAACAACAAGGATGCATCTCATAAAGTTTGTATACACCACTAAAACCCATTGGTTCGTTCACAGAGAGAGATTATGGGGTTTGTCAAAAGTGCCCAAAATGGTTTACCGCTTCGACCAGTACTAAATATGTTAAACTCACCATGCTATTTCATAGCCAAATCATCGGTAAAACTCCTAAAGCCCCTAAATACTGAATTGGTGAGACAAAGGTTACAAAAAAACCCATGTGTTTCTTGAAAAGATAAAAAATTTAAATGTTAGCAACAATTCTATGATATACTTTGATGTATATTCGTTGTTCACTAGTGTGTCACTCATGGTGTGGTGAGAGCAGGCCGTGAGAAAATATGAGCAAGGCTGATTCAACAACCAATCACAGCAAAGTTAACGTGGCAAAATATGATTCGCAGATAGAGAACTCTATTTGTCGAGGAATCCCGAAACAACCAATCAGAAGCCTGCGTTTGTCTGCCTAACTTCTGATAAACAACCAATCGGATGACTGCGCTTGTGTACTTGCATAAGCTATAATAGTGTATGTGAAATATATATAAATACGTGTTGATTTTCATAATAAAACGATCTGTTGCCTGGCCCTTATCTTCTGTTGTTACAATGGAAACAGCAGACTTTATATGCGAAGATCTTATAAGACGAAATATCAATTTCGGCATTCCTACACATTTTATTAAATAGCTTCTTTTGGAATACACAGTTAATGTTGAATTCCCATTTAAAGAGCAACTATAAGAACGAATTGGTTGCTTGGCAATAGGGTCACCACTAGGACTAATTCTAACCAACATTTTTCCTGCAAGCTAGAGAACGGGTCTTTGAAAGATGTAACTGATGGAAAACAATTCTACTGTCATTAAATGGATGACACCTTTTGATTATGAAAAAAGAGGATGAAGCGAAACAAATCCCTGACCTATATAAAGATCTGCATCCTGCAATGAATTTTACCATCGATAAAGACATAAATTCTAGTATTTCATTCCTAGACGCTTTTATGACTAAAAAAACGGTGCGATAAGATGAAGCGCATTTACAAAACCTACATCAGCTTCGTACATTTGAAATACAAACGCAGTCTGATAAAGTGCTTGCTCCACAGAACAAGAGCAATCTGCTTTGACGAATATCTAAATGAAGAGTTTAATTTTATTAAACATTTACTGAGTGAGAACGGTTACCCAGAAAAATTCATCGACAAAAGTATCAATCAAAATCCAAGACAAGCCAAAGTAACAGCAGTTCCAAAGCAGGTCTTGTTCTTACAACTTCAATTCCTTGGGGATAACATCAGTGCGATATTAATACAGCGCCTAAGCAACGCGGTATAAAGAGCATTCAGTGCTGCTGAAGTATGCCTCGTATTCAAAACTACCCCCATTTGCATTCGGGAGTAAAAGATAAACTACCTGATTTCGCCTCTTCTATGTGTAGCTATCAGTTTGATTGCTTCTGTGGAAACAGTTGCGCCGTACAATTAGGCGTGCTTATCGTAGGATTTCGGAACACCATTCTACGTGGTTAAGTAAGGGACAAACAAAGTCTATTGATAGCCCTATACCATCTCATCCTGTAGATACAGAACACAAAATTGATCTACACAAGGCCTTCAAAGTCATCCACCGTATATAGACTAAGGTTAATTTTACCTCAGGAGTTCGCATGTTACATATTGCTGAGGCTGTTGGAATCCACATTAAGAAGCCTAACTTGTGTACCCAAAAGAAGTTGGTTGAGACGTTTTCCTTACCCCGCTGGCCATCAAGGTTCCAATGATCCTTAATCTGTCCTAGAGATTTCCTTAATTCTATTTGATATTCTGTTAACTAATATATTTTTATGCTTATTATAACTTATGCATCTTTCTCGAACTGTAATTTCATTGGTGCTAACAAATTGAGAGTATTTAGAAAACATCGATATTGTCAGTGACGATTATTCTAGAATATTCTGTGTATATAAATATATATAATTGTAGAGCCGGAAGAAGAATTTATCAAAAAGAATATTCTTTACTCAAATTTTCTGATGTTTTCTAAGTGTAAAAAATCTATTCAGGTAGTATCGTTAACCCTTATCCAACAGATTCGACATACTGACAACTGCATATATATGTAAGTGGATATCGAAATGGAATTCTAGGTTTGATTAATTAACAATTAGAAATAATATTAAAAATTAAATTGAATAAACTAAATGAACATTTATTCGATTTTAGATTTTCCCGTCGATTGATTGGACGGAAGTGCTCGGTCTCTAGTTGACATGTCGACTTCTTGTGCAGACGCTTCGACGATGTCTGGCATCTAATTAGAAAAATTATTCGTGGATGGTGACTAGCAGTGGAATCCATGGTGCGCATACCGTCCTATTTGGGAACATCATCACTCACTGCGGAATGCAGGCACATCAAGGGATGAGTGCCAAGTTGGACGAAATGCGCATCATGGATTCCACCGCTAGTCAGCATCCACCAATTAACCTAATGAATATTGTTTGCGATTTGTATTTTGGATTCACATAGAGAACTTTTTAGGAATCCGGGTCAAAAGGTGTAATAATTTTTTTGGACATTATGTAATTTTACTATTACCGTTTTTCTTTATTCCTTCATCCGAATTTACACTGTAGGCTAATGACCTCTAATCTTCAATGAAGAATTTATACTACTAACCTTTTGAAAGTAGCTATACATAAAAAACGAATTTGTTTGTAACTAACGAAGACTCCAATAATCTACCAAAATTTCAATATTGCATTATGGTACAATAAAATTTCTTATCTAGGAAAATACAGAGTGCTCAGATATTTATAAGAAAAATAATTTGGCCAGGGAAATTTCTATCTGGCAATTCATAATACTTGAAAAAATCTAAGTGAAATGTTAGTGAAAATATATCACTTCATAGGTTAAACCTCTACCAAAATATTATTTACAGCTTATATGCCAACAAAATAAGATTTAATAACACATACGGTATCATAATAACAATCACGAAATATCAATATTGGGCTCAGAATTGGTGAACAACTGTTCAGTTTATAGCATATTATCTCTGGACATAAAATAGATGATAATACAAAAGACAACTTATGAAGAGTCCCAAACTGGGACGAAACAGCTGTTCAGCACTCCCTGGTTTTCCAATGGTTTTCTAACTAATGTCAGGTCATGATGAAATCCTGTAAACAATCAATCAAATCTCTACAGACCAGTTCTTGAACAACGGAATTAAATTTGAAAAACCCTAAGTCAGAAAGTGTTACAAGATAAAAAAAAGTAGGAGTGTGAATAGCGAAAACCATAAAAAGTTAACGTACTTGAATCTAAGTCGTATCAACTACCATCTCCGAATATACAGTCTGGTTGTCACGCAAACTCTAGCTTAGCTACAATTCCCAACACAGATAAACGTAACAGTAGCGACTCTAAGTAGGTCTTGAGTCAGTAATCCTTCGCTTTCCATCAGTTGAATCCCATTTCTGCTAGTGTTTTAATAAAATGTCGCAAATACCACAGGTGACTGACTTTTATTATAAATGCATATGTATGGTAAGGTGAATGTAATCACTTATAAAGTAACGCTATAATGATTGCTATAACCTCGTCTAGTTAACTAGCCAGTCCTAAGCCCCCGAAAATAGGGAACGCTGGCCATTGGGTTAGCGACTCTACACCAGAAAATCCACCCAATCGCTACAGAAACTTCAAAGCATAGTATAAAATATAGAAAATAAACTTAGTCTTCTCTGAAATCGGAGACACGAAATGATGTGGACTGGCGAAAGTTTTCGGTAAGCAGGTCAACCGATATGCCTACTTTCGGTAAAAGCCGAAATAAGCTTGGGGACACAGGATGTCCACACGATGTTCGGAGCTGGAAAGGCTACTTAAATTGACAAGGAAATGACGAGATACGGTATGGCAGTGCTAAGAATCTGTGAGAGCAGAGAAAATGGGGTAGACAGTCAATAATCTACTTCTGTCACCCACACGACAACTGTGAACACACTGAGGGAGTGTATATCATTTCGTCACCAAAAGCATTAAAGACTCTTAAGCAGTGGGAACCGATCTCCTCCAGGAACATCAGAGAAATAGTCAAAGCCTAAGGAATGAAAGTTAAAATTAAACAATGCTACGCATCCCCAAACAACGCGCACCAAACAATGAGAAAGACTCCTCCAGACAACTGAAAGCAAAAGTGGACAAGACCAAAACCAGATGGCGACATCGAAA